TCTCTCCCGCCGGACCCCCCCCACACACACCCTTTTAGGGAAATGAGCTCGCTGGAGGCGGGTTCTCGTCCAGCTCGGCCCCCACGGGGGTCGGGACTGTGCTCCAGGGGCCCCCCGCCGGGAAGCGCGCCAGCCGGGCGGGGAGAGGGTTCGGTAACCGGGGTCTGGGCCGAGGAAAAGGGGCGCCGATCTCGGGGTGTCCGCCCGCGGCTGCTGACCCCGTGCGGGCCTGAGCCCCTCCCGGTGCGGGACACGCTGTCAAGTCGACCCGGACGCCTTGGCCGCCCCGCCCCTCGGTTGGCGAGCGGATCCCGGCCTGCGGGCCCGCCTCCCCCCACCCCCCCCACCACCTCGGATCCCCGCTCTCCCCAATCTCTCTCTGTCTCTCCGGGTCTTGCGGTCTCTCTCCCGGTCTCTGCCGTGGTGTCTCTCCGGACACACCACTGGAGGGCGCCTGGCTCCCGTGGATGGCTCCCAGGTCCCCTCCCCACCGCCCCCCTTCTCCCCCTGTGGACTGGACTGAACCCCCAGCGCTCTGGGACCGGGGGACAAGGCCAAGTCCCCATTTGCTCCCGCAAGACCCTTCCCTGATCTAGCCGACCCCCAACAGGCGCGGACTGAGCAGGTGTCCAAGGTAGAAATTCCAGCCTTTGTGTGAGTGTGTGTGTGTTTCAATCAGATTGCTTTATTCTTTGTGGTAGGGGTCCCCCTGGCCCATAGAAGCCGCCTCTCCAGGAGGGCCGGTGCCCACCCTCTCCCTGCAGCTCCCGGGGTTTGGGCAGGAGCTGCTCCCTGCCTTTGCTCCTGAACTTTCCTGTCCCGTTCAGGCTTCCACAGACCCTGTGAAGTAAAGGGGTGTTGTTTATGATGTGAGAGAGAGGAACGGGAGCCATTCTGCCTGGGTGTGGTCGGTCAGCCATCCCTTTCCTCAGCTCCCCTATAGACACCCACTCTCCAGGATCCCCAGTAGCCTGGTCAGCTGATGTGGCAGATGGCCCAAGCTCATGAGTCTTCTACTCATGCCTCCCACCCGGGCACCCTAGACACACCTGCTCACCTGAGGAGTCCTAGATGTAGAAGAGAGGGAGCTCTCCACACAGGGTGCTCATGGCAAGACCTAGGAAGGCCCTGTCTCCTGGAGACGCAGAGCCTGCATCCAGCCCCTCCTCTGGGCCCAGCTTAGAGGTGGATGCAGGCTTGGCCTGGAAAGAGACATACATGGGAGTCTGAAAACTAACTGCCTTGCTTTTGTGTACCTGTGTTGTCAGTACTTGGGCTTGAATTCGGGGCCTCTTGCTTTCACCCAGCTTTTTCACTCACAGCTCGCACTCTCCCATTCGAGCCAGGCCTCCAGTTCTAGCTTTTTTGCTGGTTAATTGAAGATTAGAGTCTCAAGAATTTGTCTACCCAGTCTGGCTTCAAACCACAATCCTCAGCTCTGTGCCTCCTGAGTAACAAGGATTATAGATGTGAGCTACTGGTGTCTTGCTGGAAGCCATGTTTCTCTCCCTCCTGCAGCCCTTATTGTGGAACCCTAAGTTTGTCAAGCAACCTCTCAGAGCCTGTTTCCTTTTCCATACGAAAGGCCCTTCCAGCTTTGGGGTCAGAAGCCCATAGGTGGTAGGTGTAGGTATGCCAACAGCTTTAGCAGTGGGAGGATTGGAAACAGGTAGGGAAGATGTGGTGCAGCCTAGGAGAAGCAGAACTTTACAAGTGACAAATAACCATCATTTCGAATCCTCCACCCCACTGCCCTGGGAGAGAGACAGCCCATTCCATCTGCCCCCACACACCTGCAAGGTCTGGAATTTTCGAATGAGAGCTTCAAGACTGGGGATGCTGTCTGGAGCCATCTTCATGATGTAGCAGCAGGTTCCTGGAGCTGGCTTATAGGCAGTCAGGAGCTGGACATGAAACACCATTAGAGGCCATTAAGGAAGGTCCCTGGCCCTACTCATTCCCCAATCCTGGTCCCCAGCTCTCTCTGGCTAGGTTGGGCTCAGATTTGATCAGCTTGGGGAAGATAAAAAGGCCAAGGGATGAGGGGATGGTAGTGATGGAATGGCACCAGTAGATAGTTCTAGCAAAGTCTTGTCTTGGGTTCCCCGGGGCAAGAGGTCCAAGCATACCCACCCGCTGGTAATCATATACAACGATGCCAGTGGAGCCGATGGAGAAGGTGGCAGTGGTATCCATGGGCTCACCCAAGGCCAGGTGTTTCTGGGCTTCCGGTGCCCCAATGCTCATCTCAAGAACCTGAGGTGAGGGGCATAGTGCTACCAGGCATTCCTCTGTGATACCCATGCCCGCCCACTCTTGGTCTGTCTTATTCAAATGCAGTTCCTTCATTCCTGAGGGCGGAGGGGTTTGAACAGCATCAGGTGCCCAAGAAAACTGGTTATCACACCAGAGACCTGGTGGAAAAGCCTAAGCCAAGTTGCCACCCCATTCCTGCCCCTGATACCACCAAACTATGCCCTTGCCTGCCCTTTCCCATTTCTCTTGTGGTGTTTCCCATCTGCCCTCTTCACCCAGCTCTTCTCTCTGGCACGCCTGTCCCAAACCTGCTTACCATCTCGGTATGTTTCTGGCTCATGTGAAGACCCATGAGCAGGGCCCCCACAATCACCACAACGACAAGGACCACCACCACCACCACGATGAGAAGGCGTTTGAGGTGCACAGGGCAGCAGGGGATACGGAACTGCCCCCGAGAGCCTGCTGAGTAGTCCTGACAAGATGGGGGAAGAAGGGAAGAAATGTGAGGTCCTGATGGGAGCCCCCACCCCTCCCCACACAAGCTGGACACCCTCCCATCCCCTATTAAGATGGACAGCCAATGCTTTGGACATGTAGAGAGGGATGAGATGATCAGAGGCTTCTTGGAGAAGGCAGTCTGGATTCCAACAAGATGTTTAGAAGCTTAGAAAGAAATCTGGGTTGGAACATCCAAAAGTGCCTGTCTCTCTAGTCTCATCTGGTGTCTTCCTGAGATCCCTGGCACCCCAGCTATGGCCAACCTCTGTTCCCCAAGGATCCGGGCTACCTCACCACCACACCACCCTTCTTCCTGCCAAGCATGTGTCATCTTTTCTGAGATACTTCCTGTGACCTTGAAAGTTGCTAGGACTCTGTCCTCAGCCCTCTCCACAGTCTTTTCCATTGGCCCCTGGACTTGTCTGTGACATCTGTCTTTGCCAGGAACTCTGTCCTAGTAATCTTGGTATGCCCATCCTAACTTAGCATAGTCCTGAGCTGGTTGAATAAATGAATCTGGATAAGGAAACAAGTCCAGAGAGAATAGAGAATCCAGGATCAGTACACTTGTGCACACACATGCATACACACACACACACACACTCACTGGCGGACTCTCCATCAAGACCTCTTTGCTGCCCACATCCATCTTGCTGCTGGCTCTCTCTTCTCATCTCTCAGGTATGACCAGGGTCTTATATATGTGACTGCAGGGAGAGGGGCAGAGGTGAAGGATCTGATCTCCTGACTGCCAGCCAAGCCCTTGGCTTTGAAGACTGTTTGCTTTTGGCCCTCCAGAGTCAAGACCCTGATAAGCCAGCTGCAAGAGCCCCCAAGGGCCCTTGGCCCAGGCACATGAGTTCTCTTGGCCCCAGCAAGAGCGAAGCTGGGTGAGCTGAGCAAACTTGCCCTCAGGGCACCTGCTCTTCTCTCTGTGGGTGTCTCCTGGCTGGCTTGCTTGTCTTGTTGGCACCTGCCCTACAGTCCTGTGGCTTTCCTTCTTCTTCTGCCAGATGGTGCCTCTCCAGCAGACGCCAAGGGTCTGGCCATCCTATTTCCCAACATAGTTTCCTCAGGCATAGGCATGAGCTTCACGAAGGGGGCTCCACTGAGGAGAAGGGGCTGGAATAGCAGTTGGGGGGGTCTCTGCTGAGGGTATTGTGCATTTCTCAGAGAGGGTCAGTTTCCTCCTTACCTTTGCCTAACCTCAGACTTGTCCTCGGTCATTCCTCCCCTAATTCAGGAAACTCTGTTACCTGGTGGGAAACTTTACTCCTGGGTACTGTTTTGTTCTTTGTTCTGGGCTTGTTTTATAAGCTGAAGTTTCTGTGGAAGATTCCATGCCTGACACCTCTATTTATGTATGTATGTATGTATGTATGTATGTATGTATGTATGTGCTGAAGCTTAAACCTAAACCTTCCACCACGTTGTACCACTGAGCTACGTCCCAGCCTCTGATGCCCCTTTCCTATGTCAGGACAGCCCTGTACAGGGCTGGGTGTGCTCCCAATCTTCCCATTTTTGAACCACCCTTCTGGCATCCTGCTGGCCTCCCATCCTACCCTTCTAGGCTCCTTTAGATATCCTTGAACCCTAAATGTGCGCTGAGAGTGAGTGATGTCCCCTCCACTTTCTCTATTTCCTACCAGCTTTGTCTGCCTAACGAGTTCCCAAAGCTATCTCTGTGCTTGCGGGACCAAGTCAAATCTGCCACCTGCATCCTTCTTGCTCGGAGGTGGTCTCTAAAATCCCTTCACCTCAAAGCTTTCATGAAGCCAAGTCCCTGTGGTTCATGCTTATCATCCTAACTCTGCAGGAGGCTGAGATCTGAGGATTGTGGTTCAAAACTGGCCAGGGTAGAAAAGTCCATGAGACATTTTTCTCTAATTAGCTAGCAAAAAGCAGGAAATGGAAGCGTAGCTCCAGTGCTAGCCTTCAGTGAAAAAGCTAAGGGACAGCATGAATGCAAACCACCTAGCTCATGAGTTCAAACCTTAGTATCGACATGGACACATGCACATGTGCACTCTCTCTCTCTCTCTCTCTCTCTCTCTCTCTCTCACACACACACACACACACACACACACACACACAAAATAAAAAAAACCAAAACTTTTCATGAATGTTTCAGTCTGAGCCCCACACTTTCCTTTCTTGGCCCAACTCTCCTATCCTCTGTTGCAACTCTTCCTTAGTGTCTGCCAGATTTGGTATAGAACTCACCATAGATGCACACATGTTCAAGTCCTTTATGTGAAACAGCATGTATTATTTGCCCAGAGGCTATACACAGCCTCTCTTGGACTTTAAGTCCTCTCTAGATGACATTAAATACCAATACAATGTAAATGCTTTGTAAATAGTTGTAATACTATATTGTTTAGGGAATAATGAGAGGGAAAAAGTACATACTCAGTAGAAGTGCAATTTTTTTCCATAAATACTTTCCATCTCCTCTTGGTGGCTGTAACACTGATGGCTACAGAGAGCCAGCTGTACTTTAACTCAGAAACATCATTGCACTTCCTGTCCCTTGCCCCAGCCTCCCTCACACCTTGTTCTAGCCCTTTGATCATGTGCTGGCCCCCTCCTCTCAAGGCCTGGCAGGTTCCCCTGTCCCCACAAGGACCCCCTCTCCAGCTGGAGGGCCTCAACCACAGCATTGTACATCTGAGCGTAGAGCCCCTGAGACGCTCAGGAAAGGAGAGAGGGAAGGAAATATTTGCTCCCCTTGCTTTCTTTGCCCTCTTAACTGCCCCCATTTAAATATTTGCCCGGCTCCAGCAGGGAGACTGTGTCCCAGGACGAGTGGAAGAAGAGGAGGGGGACCACATCCTCTTCGCTGTTCCCCTCTACTTGGCCTCAGCTGTGTTCAGGTGCCAGATGTAGGAGACAGCCCGCCTAAACTGCCCCCCTTCTGCTTGCCCCCCGCCACGTTGTCCTGGCAACCTTGGGATTGATGGCTGACTCACATGCTCTGGGCCTAAGCCAAGTGGGCAGTTGGCCAGCGGGAGAGCCAAAGAGAACTGTAGGCATCTCGGGGTCCCTGTGGGCATCTCAGGGGGCCGCAGTGCCCCCTACTCTAAGCAGGTGCAGTGTATGGGGGGAGGACCTCTGTTCTCTCTCAGGTCTTCAGTTTCCCCTGGAGGCTGCTCTTAGACTTTCTGGCTTTTTAAATAAAATTGTATTATTGTTTTTTCAGGGCCCTGGTGGCTCACACCTGTAATCCTAGCTGTTCAGGAGGCTGAGATCAGGATCATAGTTCAAAGCTAGCCTAAGCAGCAAAGTCCTTGAGGCTCTTATCTTCAATTAACCTCCCCCCTCTCTCTCTTTCTCTCTCTCTCTCTCTTCAATTATCCATTGGGGAGGGCCAGGGGGAACAAGTGGAACTGTGGTACTAGTGGTAGAGCACTAGCCTTGAGCAGAAAAGCTTAGGGACAGCACATAGGCCCCAATTCAAGTTCCATGACCAACAACAACAAGAAAAAACAAAAACACTTGTTTTTGTATGTTTGGGCACTGGGCTAGGTTTCTAAAGTGACATTCACATATTGACCCCACCTGGTAGAGGTCTTGAGCTCCTCCAAGGAGAAAAGAGGGTAGGCGTTTAGTTGGGCAACTACAGCCCTCCACCTGGGCCCTCAGGCTAGTCCTGGGCTACAAACTTCTAACTTCTAGTGTTCGGCCACGCCTGCTGCACCTCACCTGACATTCAGCAACCCAGTGTCATTTCTTTTTTTTCTTTTTCTTTTTGTCAGTCATGGGGCTTGAACTCTGCGCCTGGACACTGTTCCTGAGCTCTTCAGCTCAAGGTGAGTGCTCTACCCCTTGAGCCACAGAGCCACTTCAGGTTTTCTGGTGGTTCATTGGAGATAAGAGTCTCACGGACTTTCCTGTTCAGGCTGGCTTTGAACCGTGATCCTCAGATCTCAGCCTCCTGAGTAGCTAGGATGACAGGCGTGAGCTTCTCATGTCATTTCTATCAGCCATGTGGGAGACTCTTGTCACTCTATCTTCCAAGCAGGCAGCCATGCTGGGAGGGAAAAGGGCATGCTTTCCTCGTGTTTCTGTGAACCTGCCACAGAGCGAGCAGCGTGCACACAGCCCACATATTCCTTCCAGGTCTCCCTAGTTCCTTCCAGTGGCAGCTCTGAAACCTGGAATAGGTCATTCTGCTTTTCTGGCCATTAATATGGCCATCTGTGAAATGAAAATACAACTTCCTGTCTTGTCTAACTCACAAAGGTGTGAGGTCTCAATGACATCGTGGGTGTGAAAATCCAATCATCCAGCTCACCATCACCTACTTCATCCCACCCCACCCCCAGCCTCTCACAGCTAAGCCAAAGACCCAAATTCCCATTTCCGTGTGGCTCTGGGTTACCCTCGGTGAGAACTCTGCATGATGGGAAGCCCCACGGTGGCTCCCCTTCTGTGCGCCTCTCCCTCTCCTCTTCCCAGCCCCTCAGCTGCGTGGGTTGGGACAAGATTCACTTGCCCTTTGTGTGCTGGGCAGAGCTGTGCCAGGGACGGGCAGGGACGCCTGCCCAGTCACCCTCCCCACCCCCTCCCTCTGTTTCTCCCCTCCCTTCAAGCTGGCATGGAGAGGGAAGCACAAGCAGCTGGATGGGCAGAGGCAAGTGGGTATCACAGGCCAGGGGCATCCCTGACTTGGAGAATGTGGACTTAAGCTCAGAGCAGATGCCCCTGCTGGCACAGGCTGGAGACAGCTGGGGCAGAGTCTTAGGATCATCAGTCTGGGTTCCCTGGACTGTTGTGAACAGAGCACAGAACTGGAATCCTGCACGGACTCCCAGGCTCCCCTTCCCTCTACCCATAAGCTCTTGGGACAGAACCCCTAGCTCTCCCCCATCCCAGGTGACATGAAGGGAACAGCAATTCTCAAACTCTTTGGTTTAAAGACCTTTGAGACAAAGTCTCAAACTCTTGATCCTCCCGCCTCTGTTCTCCTGTGTAGCTGGGATTCTAGTGTATCATCACACCGGCAGGACCTCTTAGTATTCTCAATAACATGGAGAATACCTAAAAAGCTTCTCTTCATGTGGACTAACTCATAATTTATTTATAAGTTGGTATTTACTAAGAATATTTTTTTTGCCGGTCCTGGGGCTTGAACTCAGGGCCTGGGCGGTGTCCTTGAGTTTCTTTTTGGTCAAGGCTAGCATTCTACCACTTGAGCCACAGGGCCACTTCCTGTTTTTTTTTCTGCTTATGTGATACTAAGAAATCAAACCCAGGGCTATGAACATGTTAAGCAAACACTCTATACCACTAACCTACATTCCCAGCTCAACTAAGAAGGTTAAAAATCTGTATTTATTTAAAATAGGGTCATTCCAAACCTACCATATAACATAAGTCACATATATTTGTTTTAATTTTTTTAATTTTTATTGTACAAAGAGGTTACAGTTGCAGTTACATAAGTTACAGTTACAAAAGTCAGGTAAAGAGTACATTTCTTTTTCTTTCTTTCTTTCTTTTTTTGGTTGGTCATGGGGCTTGAACTCTGGGCTTGGGCGCTATCCCTCAGCTCTTCAGCTCAAGGCTAGCACTCTACCCTTGAGCCACAGCGCCACTTCTGGTTTTCTGGTGGTTTATTGGAGATAAGAGTATCACGACTTTCCTACAAGGGCTGGCTCTGAACCTCAATCCTCAGATCCCAGCCTCCCGAGTAGCTAGGATTGCAGGCGTGAGCCACCAGTACCCTGAAAGAGTCCATTTCTTTTTGGACATTGTCACCCCTTTCCTCGCTGTCTCTCAGTTTTTCCCTCCCATCCCCACCCACAAGTTGTATAGTTCATTGTCAACATAGTGTCCAGTGAGTGCCATTGTCCACCTATTGTCCTTCCATTTCTGCACCCCCCCCTTATACTCCCAAAGACATATAAATAAACAGGACAAAAAATGAAAACAACTACAAAGAGAAAAAAACTTGTTTCCAATTCTTGGAGTTCATTCAGCAAATATCATTTTGCATGATCAGATGCATTGTGCCTTTGTGTTCCTCTCCTAAGAGTATCACAAATATTTTAAAATTAAAGAGAATCTATATCACCTTTAAAAATTTCTAACTACTTTTGTGAGCACAGAAGTAAAAAAGAGTGGGGCTGGGAAGGTGGCTCAGTGATAGAGTGCTTGTCTTGCATGCATGAGGCCCTGGGTTCGATTCCTCAGCACCACATAAGCAGAAAAAGCCAGAAGTGGGCCTGAGGCTCAAGTGGTAGAGCGCTAGTCTACAGCTGAAGAGCTGAGGGACAGTGCCCAGGCCCAGAGTTCAGGCCCCAGGACCGACAAAAAAAAAAAAAAAAGTAAAAAAGAGCAATTGTGTGTGTGCGTGTGTGTATGTATGTGTGTGTGTGTGTGTGTGTGTGTGTGTGTTGTTGGGTCTTGAACTCAGGGCTTCTTACATGCTAGGCAGACACTTGACCACTGTGTCACATCTCCAGCCTACAGATTATGTATGTGTCCTTCCTATGAAAAGCATTTTGGGGGCTGGGAAGGTGGCTCAGTGGTAGAGCGCTTGCCTTGCATGCCAGAGGCCCTGGGTTCGATTCCTCAGCACCACATAAGCAAAAGAAAAAAGCCGGAAGTGGCACTGTGGCTCAAGTGGTAGAGCACTAGTCTTGAGCTGAAGAGCTGAGGGACAGCGCCCAGGCCCAGATTTCAGGCCCCATGACCGGACCCCAAAAAAAAGCATTTTGTTGTCCTTGGTTGTGGGGCTTGAATTCTGGGCCTGGGTGCTGTCCTTGAGATCTTCAGCTCAAGGCGAGCATTCTACCACTTGAGCCACAGCACCACTTCCAGTTTTCTTGTGGTTTATTGGAGTTAAGAGTCCCACGGACTTCCCTGCCCAGGCTGGCTTTGAACTGTGATCCTCAGATCTCAGTTTCCTGAGTAGCTAGGATTACAGGGGTAAGCCACTGGTGCCTGGCTATGAAAAGCATTTTGACTTCCAAGAGTCCATGGGCGGTTATCAAGAACCTCTGGGCTCCCAAAGCCACTCTTTGAAGATCCCTCAGTGAAGAGAAATCTCTGAACTTGAGGTTGAACTTCTGGTCCTAGGACCACACTGCCATGGAATCCCTCAGAAGGGCCAGAGTTACCTCCACCAACTGCACAGCACCTGTTAGACACAGTAAGCAAGCCTGCCACCTCTCTCTTTCTCGAAGCCTCAGTTTCCTCATTTGTGAAATTCCCTCCTTTGGTGTTTACTAAGAAATGTTAAATGTTTGTTTAAAACAGCTCTTCCAAAGCTACTATACAACACAAGTCACATGTATTTTCAAGTGAAAATAACTATGATTGTTGGATCTGGTCTTGATTGGTTCTGGGAAGGACTGGCGGGGTTGTACTGTGCTGTAAGGAAGTCCCAGAATCCATGCCCTCTCCTGTCCCTTTTCTGTTCATAGTCATAGAGGCCCTTGCTGTTCGTGAAAAGAGCAACCTTGAACTCGCGACCTCGCCTGTCAACCCACACACACGTGTCGCTTCAGCCAGGCGTCAGGTCCCCCACATCCCAGACAGGCGCGCAGAGGCGCACGGCCCCCAGGGCCGCATGTGAGGACCGGCGTGAGCACACAGTCGCCCATGTCTGTAGTCACACGCACGCGCTGGGCTCAGAGCCCTGGGAACCCGAGAGAGCGCCGGGCGCCCTGCGGCCAGGTGCCGCCCGCGATGGCTCTCGGGTGGGCGTGGGCCTGCCC